GGAATATTTGAGATTTCTGCTCTAATCTGTAGTTGCCAATCTGTCATTACTATATTTTAATTTGACAAACCGGATGTTAACGTTCTTTTTCCTGTTTGGTGTCATTGCAATGGTGGATCTTAACCTGACAGGAGCGGAGCTAAAAGAGCTCAGCTCCGTATTTTGATGGAGAAGACGTACGTGGACGGTGAAACTGATTAACATGGCTGCTCCTCAGGGCGTACGTGGGCGGGGCGCTGACGGAGGAGGTGGAATCTGATAGCGTAGCTCCCAAACGTCTCACCATGTGATTGAACGCCTCCTAAAAACACGCAGAATGACTTCACTTTATTTTTATTTTCACATGTAAAGTGTTCATTCATGTTTGAAATGTATTTTATCCATCATTACAAATGTTGTAGATAAATTATTCATTGGCTGATATGAACTTCTGATGGGATCATAACCTTAAGTGTGACGCTGTCATGACCACAGCGCTAAATGCTGCCTCAAGAAGACCTTTCTCCTTCAGTTTAACGTTTTTGTTGTGATGTTCAGTTTTTATTGTTTCAGATTCCAGATGTTCTTTAAATGAAGGAACTTGGAAGGAGAAGAACCATCCCGGAAACTTCTGGATGTTTCCTTCTCTTCCCGGGTTAAATGGTAGCTCCCAGTCCGGCTGCTGGTGTCACTAACTGGATCTGCTTCTATGTTTGCTGCCTGTCTCCCTCAGGGAAGGATGTGATGTTCTATGTGGCCGAGATGATTCCCAAACTAAAGACTCGGACTCAGAAGAGCGGAGGAGGCGACAGCAGCTCCCAGCAGAGCGAGGGAGGCAAGAAGAGCAAGAAGAAGAAGAAGTGAGGTCCTCCGTCCCGCTTGATCTGAAGTAGAGTCAGAGTCTGACGTCGTCGGTGTTCCGGACTCGATCGGCGTTCTTCCTCACGCAGGTCGACCTTATCGGCTCCACCTCAATTTAAAAACTGGATTTAAGTTGTTCAGGAGGAGAAGTTTGGATTTCAGGAGGAGATGGTTCAGAATGTTTGCTTTGGATCACGTTTCTACAGATTAAAGCTGATTTTTGTTTCTCATCATCTGTAGCTTGTTTTTATTAAATTGCTTCTACGGAGCTCCGCCTCTCTGGTTCTTCCAGCTGCAGCGTTTTCTTCCTAACCACGTTTGATTCATGCACATAATTTTAAATCATTTAAAGGGTAGAAATGGTTTAAATGACTGTAAAACAGATTTTCAGAAACAGGAACAGAACATAAATATAGAGAAACTACTACTGAGGAGCTGGACTTTGACTAGGCCGCTGTTGGAGATCAGCAGCTGTGATTGGGATCATGATTCTGTTGATGACTGAGGTTACGTAGGGTGGTGGTGATGTCAGAAAACGATCCATGAGTCTAAGGTTAGATGACCAGGACCAGTTCAACCACCGGATGAATCCCAGTGGAGATCCATGTCGTGTTTTAGACCCTAGAGCTCCACGATGCTCAACATCCAACATTAGCAGTTCAGTTTATTTCTATAGCAACGATTCCCATCATGTCATCTCAGGGCTCTTTCCAGTTCATCAGATCATCCAGTCAGATTGATTCAAAGGAAAACCAGTTGATTGCATCGACTCATTGACTCTTCAGCAATCCC